TGGAAGGGTCAGAAAACAGCAGTCAAAAGCAAACTTAATTCAGCAGACGTTCAGAGGAGACCCAGTGCACATTCAGCAAGTGAAAGGTAGCTCTTATGCTCTTCATTCTCAAATCCTGTGAAATTCAGATCCAGAAGATTAGCACTATAGTTAGAAAAAGCAGAATTCCTGCTTGCAGACAAGAGCTCAGAGGTGACACTAACATCTATAGACACACAGCACGTTTTGCTAGGAAGCGCTGACACTTCACTGCCATGGTACACAAACCCCACCGTTTTTAACAGAAATACTCATGGGATTAGGGTTGCAGATCAGGGGTAACCTCAGTCTGCTCTTACTCCAAATTTTATCCAGCAATTGCCTACAAGAGCTGATTGAAAGCCTCACTTTCTGACATATGCACATAGGACGTTTTGTCACCCAAAAAGGGATGTTTTAAGTAGGGTCTGCAGATGGAAAGCTGACAGCAAGGAGGACAACTAACTACCCTCCTGAATTCCAGCTCATTTTGAACAGTGCTAGCGTGAAAACACCACTATCTCCATAGAGTCAGAGCATCAGCTGGGGTTACTCTTGCTCTTTGCAGTCTCTGAGTTTCTGAACAAGGACAACACAGAGCAAGGGGCTGAGTGACCCTGGTTTAGCCCATGTTAGTGGGCCAGAAAGAGCAAAAGGAAACACAGGAGACCACTCCATGCGCAAAAAGCAATCCCAAATCCTTGTTTTAAAAAGATTATGGATAATTTTCCTACCAACCGAGTTCTTTTCCAAAACACAGGCTGCCACTAAGACAACAGTTGGGTCACCAGAGCCATCACCACAAACATCTGTTTATATACAAAAATTGCTATCGTGAAACTAATCTCATGAAGCACTCTAGCTCAATGCTGTTTTTTCCTGTGGGAGACATTACCAGCTAAGACCTCTAAAACCTTTATTGAGAATATGGTTACATCACATGGCCTTTTAACAAATGAGCAGAGGATTAAGGGTTTTAAACTTTCCAAAGAAATGTCCTGGCTGTCGGCTAATGCACTGAGCAAAAGCAACAAGGAGGGGTGAGGGAATTAAAAAAAAAAAAAAAATAGAGTATTTAGCTTTTCAAACAGCTTGACCTGCACAAATCTGAATCCCCACTTTCCTTTTTGGAAACCTGCAGTGGCTCCGGGGAGATGGGGAGATGCCTGAGGTTGCCTGCATGTCATGAAACACAGGGCAGGGTGCCAGCAGGAAACAGATGTATTAAATCCTGGCTACAGCACGTTAACCCCAGCAGAAGATAACAGCAATATTTGCAATCCCCTGCCAAAATAATAAACACCAGTCACATCCACAACCTCCAATGCACACAACAAAAACAACTATTCAGGACCGATTTTTTTCCTTTTTCCCCCACTTCTAAACTGATACTTCTAATAGGAATCTAATCAGGGGCTTTTTTCAGGTAAAAAATCATCATGTTATGACAGATGTTGCATATCCTCTTGCCAGGGGTTTTTTTTTTTTTTTTTTTTTTTTTTAAAAAAGTGGTTTGCAACATTTTCCTATGTTATTCTCTTCCGCGTTACCATCCAAGAGGTTAAAACTGGGCAAGGCAACTGCTCACACACAGGAAACGGCACGTGGACTAGATGGGAAGAGATGCTCTGCCGATCTTGCCCTGCAAGCAGCACCTGCTGTTTAGACAAGGCTCTGGGTGAGCTCCAACCTGGTTTAAGGTTGCAGCCTCTTTAGCTGAGGACAGAAAGGCTGGACATTAGCACAGGTGACTTGAGATCAGATTGATCCTTGTCAAGCTGCAGTTTCAACCCTTGCACAGGGGAAAAAGACACCTCCAGAAAATGAAAGAGGTTTTTCTTTTCCTTGCCACAGGGCTGCAGAAAGAGCTCAGAGCGCTGGCTCTCTGCTGGAGAACAAGTTTTTAAAATTATATCCCTGTGAAAGGCATCAGATTACAAGGAGAATTTACTGCAGGTCTCCAAAGCTCCCTCCCAGGGGAGGGAGCTAACGGGAGACACTTAAAGTAGACCTGAAAGCCAATGTTTACCTGCCTTATCACTGCTGTACAACCACTAGTACTCCTTGAAACACCCAAGAGACCCAGTGGAAAGTCACATTGAGCCCCAAGGACCGGTGTCAACCCATGGATAACCCCCACTGGCTTCACTCTGCAGTTATGAGTGACAGCAGGTGGTTTATCAGCCCCATTTTGCTCACAAACACAGGTTGAGCGACCCACAAGAGCAAACATGTGGCGGGTGCACGGGCTTCCCTCGCATGCTAGTTACCTCCGGTGGCAAGTGGGAGAGGAGACGATGCTCTGCCGGGCTGACCTGGCTTCCTAGAGGCAAAAAGGAACAGAAAAAAGGAAGGAAAAGCCAAGAGAGGAGTGTTAAACAGGTAGAAAGATGAGGCTGCAAGAGGCTTGCAAAGGAGGCAGCAAGGAGCAAGCAAGAGGTGATGGATGAGGAAGAGGGGGTAAGAGGAGATGGGTCATGGGCTACTGGGTCACGGGCTACTGGGTCACCCTGCAACAACATGAAACGGCCCCAGCAAGATCTGGGCACCAGGACAGGTCTGAACCACCCCCCAGAGCCACCTCTGCCGCCCAGGGAGGGTCCCCGCATCACCCATCACATCCCCTCGCCGCCACCGGCCTCACCTTGCGGGCGCTGCCGCTCTTGGGCGCTGGCGGGAGCGCGACACCAGCGTCACCGTCGATGGCACCGTCTGGGCGCTCCTCCGCAGGGGCCAGCATCGCCGGCAGACGGGCATCCGTGGGCCTCAAAAGACAGCCTTAAACGGGGGGAGGAGTTAACCCCCCAAAAAAGGCAAAATCAAGTGCCCTGAAAACCCTTAAGAGGAATCACCCCCCAAAAGAGGGGAAATGCAACTACCCCACTAAAAAAAAAAAATCCCTTAAGGGGGGAATCACCCCAAAGAGTCCAACTCAGTGCTCTAATCCTCTTGAGGGGGGAGAACCCCCAAAAAGGGGCAAAACCAAGCACTAAAAAAATCTTTACAGGGAAAGGGTGACCCCAAGATAGGGGCAAGCCACGCTATCCCCAAAAAACTTTAAAAAGGGGGATTCTCCCCCCAGAAAGGTGGGAACCCCCAAAAATCCTTTGGGGGAGGGTGAGGGGGGTTAAACCCAAGGCCCCTTCAACCCAAAGACCCCCCAGAGGTGCCGCTACCCACAGACTTCGGGCGGCGCCGCCGCCA